CCGTGCAGTAGTTTTCTTCAAGTACAACAAAATAATAAAAATAAGATGAAATAACAGTTAAAACAATGAAAAAGTGAAATAAAAGGAAATAAAATGAATTTAAATTCACCCAGGGAATGTTTTAGTTCTTAAAAGAACATTTTGATATAACTTTACATGATATTGTTGTTTTTATGAATCATTTCATCTTATTTATCGACAATTTATTTTACTTTTCACGATCTGGTCTTGTCTCCTTAGTTTAAAGCTTTAGAAAAATGCTCAACATATAAAGTTAAGGATCATTGTGTGAGCTTCAAAAAGTTTTGTTAAACATTTGAGTGAGTTGGAGCGATGACAAATGATTTAAAAGGTGGATGACAACAGAATCACAACCATGAAGATAAATCAGTCTCTGGGATTTGGGGGGGTTTCATCTTTAGTCTTCAAACCATCGTTGCGAAACCTGCAGCTGCATCTGTGTTCATCTGTTATTGAAATAAATAAAAAAAACTGTCTCAACCGGTCAGTGTTTCATTTACTCACAATCCAAGAAGCTCCAGTTGGGAGACAATCTACTGGATGAACTGGTCCTGGGGACACCTCTGCTCTCGTCCTGGAGACAAAGAGACGGACAACGTGAGCGTTAAACGTCCTTTCACCGAACAGTAAATAATAAACACTAACACTGAACTATACGTTCACATTTTCTATCTGCTAGCAATGAAATACTGGAATCATGACATACTTTCTAAACAGAAAGTCAGATCTGATATTTTAAAATATCTTTTAAAGAAATACAAAAGTCACATACCTGGTAGTGCACTCTGTGGCCAGTAGATGGCGCCTGGTGTAAATCCTATCAAGCACAGCGGACAGGATTCAAGGTTAAAGACAAACAGCCAAAGAGAGAGAGGGAGGGAGAGGAAGAGGTGAGGACGATGAAGATTAGGATAAAGAGAGACTGGCCTCTTGTAGTCTGTCGATGTAGAGTCTGCATGTCTCCAGGTCACAGTCTCCTCGTACCACAACGATGCCGACAGGGATGGCTGCAACACACACAAACACAAACACACACTTTAGACCAGAGCTTCACAAACCTCTCCGACCCTCTGACCCTGAAGTAAAGCTGCCGGAGACGTCCACAACATCTCGCTTTGCTCTTTATCTGTTTTGATATTTGGTGCTGGATGGAAATCGAAATGAAACCACGCACACTTACAGATATCTCTGAGTCGCTCTTTGTCGTACTGCAGCCGGTCGTACTCCTGGAGGCCGATCCGATTCACTCGCAGACGCAGACGGTCTGGAACTGCATGAGGACTGGAAAAACAACAAAAAACACATGCACACAGGTGCATGTACGTGCACACACACACACACACACACACAATTCAGACATGTCCAGACGTACAATGATAAGGAAACACATGCATACATGCACGCACAGACACGCACAGACACACACGTCACAAACCAGATCGGAGCTTTTGCAACATGATGACACTGAAATCCTCCTCTCTCCTGTTTCGTTACACTTCCAGTTGCGGGCGAGAACTTTTTAAACTGAGCTCGAGTTAAAAAGTTTGTGAACTCTCCCTCCGATCCATTAAAGTAGGACACGAAGGGCTCGGCTCTCTGATGCATCACCAGCATGATTCTGTTTGAGTTTGAGGTGGGCCAACATTTTAAAAGTCAATGTTTGTGGGCAAGGCTGAGCGAGGGTGAAAGTTCAACACTGACGTCAGACAAGCGTCGGGCGAGGAGCAAAAAGTACAAATCACCCAGAGCCAAGCCTCAAAGACTCAGGAGCTCAACCTCCCCTGAAAGGGAACAGAGCAGTCGCAACACGTTTTTCTATTGTTTGTTCTTCAGGTGTGAAAATATGAAAGCAGTTTTTACTGAGGGGGGGAGCGGACGTGGAGTGAGAGCCGAGGACTAAGAAGAAGGTGTAATATATATATATATATATATATACACGAGACCAGCTCAGAGTAAAAAGGTGAAGAGACGACAGAACGAACAGGAGGCAGAAGCACATGAACTGGTAGAAAAGCTTCATCATGCTGCTGCATACACGTTCTCCCTGTCACTCATTCATTCACCACAACTCATCCAAACACAACAACAACTCAACACAACCGAGGTTCAACCAGTATGAGGCTTCATGACGAACAAAGTGCTGCTGCAGATAGTTAATGAGTGTTTGAAAGACTTTAAAACAATTCAAAACTAATTGTGTTTTATTTCGAGGATAAAGTTGAAATATCACATGAAAAAAACAGTTATATAACAAGAATTATGTCATAATATGATTATGAACAGTCGGAATTTTACGTCATTAATAATTCCATGAGAAAAAATAAAGTTATTTATAAAGTCTGAATATTAAAACTAAAATCATAATATAATCATTAAGTTGTTATTTTAAAAGAATTATACTATGTGAGAATGTGAAGTTTTTCTCAACTTATTCTCATGATGTTGAAAACAGTGACTTCACATTATATTTAATAATCTAATTAAATATTGGTTGAACCTGAGACGAACCGTGACACAACACAACAACTCGTTCACTCACGTGTACACAAACACAGAGTGACACACAAACCGTGACAGAGGGTTCAGGTACTTACACAGAGAAGGAGTCGGGGGGAGCAGAGAGGCGGCGCAGATCAGCTGCACACACCTTCTGAATACTACGGCCGCGCACACACACACACACACACACACACACACACACACACACACACACACACACACAGAGAGGAGAGGAGGAACGTGTGGAGGAGAGGAGGATGAAAAGAAAACAAGGGGAGGAAAAAAAAAAAAGAGGGAGATAAGGAAATAAGACGGGGGATATGAAGTGAAGAGAAATTGGGAAATCCAAGTTTAGTGAAGGAGAGAGGATACAAAGAGGACAAAATAAGTAGAGGAGAGGAAAACAGATGAGGAGGGAAGGAGAGAAAGAAAAAAGAGGAAAACAGAGAGAGAAAGGAGAGAAGAGACAGATGGGGATGAAGGAATATAGAGATTCCAAGCAGAGGAGGAAAGAAAGAAGAGGAATATGAAGGAGAAATAGAGAATAGAGGAAACGAGGTGAGGGAGAAGGAGAGGAGGAGAAACAGATGAAGGATAGAGGAGGGGAAAGAAGGAGACATAAAAGGAAACAAAGGAAATGAACAAGAGGAGAGAAAGTAAACAAAATAAATTCATAATCCAAAATATTTCAGACAGTGGAGATAAAGAAGAAGAGAATAAAGGGAGGATGAACCAGAGGAGGAGGGACAGATGGAGAGAAGCTCAGAGGTAAATAGACAAACATAGAGAGCAGAGCAGCAAAGCAGAGACACTGCAGCTTCATTATTATCAGTTCTTCTTCCTCTCACATGCAAACAGACTCAGAAACGTTGCACATGAAGAGTCATTAGTGCCACGAGGACGGACGAGTGTTAGTCGGCACGTTTAGAAAAACACCAGAGCCCTGCAGCTTTATCACCGTGACGACAAGTGTCGGGATGTTTGTGTTTGACGCGATGAAAACTTCTAATTTACAGAATAAAAGAAACAAAGACGTGGGACGACTGGTCTCCTCTTTCTCCCACTATCCAGAAATGAGGATTTGGGGACGGAGCCACGCCCTCCACCAATCGTGAGTCAGTCTCAGCTGTCAATCATGACACAATAAATATA